TAAGATCTGTGGAATTTAAAAAAGCACTTGAAACAATGGCTTCGAATTGAGGGATGCTCGTAGTCCTACACTGCTTTCCAAGAGGGATAGCTAAAAAAGCAGTCCAGTGATTCATCTGAATATTGCAAATACTGTAGTACACTTAAACCAAGAGGTGAAGGATAAAATTATCTTAAACTAAATTCATACAGCAGTAATTTAATCACTACAACAGTGTTTGGTTTGGTTTTTTTTTTACTAGTTATGCCTCCAGTTTTAAGTGTTCCCTCTCAGGGTACCTTCTAGGCAAGGTAAACCTCACTTTACTATCTCAGAGCATAGCCTTGCGGCTAAGTGCAGTTGGTCTTTTGGGGATACTTTATTGTTGTGGATGAGTTATTTAACAATAGAAATTGCCTGTTTTGTAAAGCCTTTTGTATTTCAGTATTTTCTATTGCTAGAGCTAGTTCTTTGTTACCCATTGTAGCATAGTCTCTAATCCTAATACTCCTGGTTATCCCTACTTACTGTGCTTTAGTTCACACAATGAAGCAGTTTTGGAGCTCTGGGTTCCTTTCAGATTGAGCTCAACTGGAAGATGTGTTCCTTCTGCAAATGAGCATTCAGTCAATGGGGCTAGATTAGAAGTAGTCCAGGGCATGTGTCAAGAAAAAACAAATCCTGGGATGCCCATGATGTTGACATCAAATCCTCCTCACTGTTTTTCTCTACAGACCTTTTGGTCAGTGTAGCCATAGCCTCTGACAGCAACTTTGCATTTGAGACTACCTTGTTTTTGCTTGAGACACTCAACTCTGTTTTAATGACTTAGACACTTGTGTAGCTGGCAAGAGAAGGGTGTGGGGGGATGTGTGAGTAAGTGGTTCATGCTCAAGAAGCTTTCAAAATTTTTTCTTCATCATGCTCTTGATAGAAAATTCAAGTAATGCTGTCAATTAAGGAAAAATGGTCATTTTTCCTTGTTTTCCATTTGGTAGAGGAGGGGTCCTGTGAGCTTGTTCAGTTCTTTGCATGGTAACCAAAGGTGGCACCTGCTAGGAGGACAGCAGAGTCCTGGCAAGCTCTTTCATCCTTCTCGAGGACTTGGGACTCTGCATTGTGCGTATTTGGCTTTGCCCGAGTTCAGCAGGCAGAGGCTAACTGCTGTAATGGGTTTCAATTGAGATGTTACCATAGCATCCTGGGACTTTTACAATCTATTTAGAAGTCCAAAGGTTTGAAAAGAGTGCTTGAAAGTTTCTGGACTCTGGCAGGTTGCCGAAATGTAAATACACAAAAGACAAAGCCTTATGAAAGCTGCTCTGTTCAGAGAAGCAGCACCTGAGTGCTAGCATTCCCAGCACATCCATTTTTGATAGCTGGGGCTCTCTTTTATCACAGTCTCCTCCCAAATATTTTTTCTTCCCCTCACGTGTATGTGCCATCCCACAAGAATAGCCTGGGTGTGCTGCAGGATGCAGCCCTCTCAGCAGTGGTGTTGGAGGAGACTGTTCTGGGGTTTGGCTGCTCTGGGGCACGGGAAGGAAGGGAGTGAGAAAGCGTCCTGAAGCCCCTACTGTAAGAATTTCTTTAGATATCCCCATCAGCTGAGAACCTTGCTCTATTCTTCTCTTGTCTTTCTTCAGGATTTTCTCACAAGTGAATGGAAAAAGCTGTTTTGTTAACAGAGTATCCAGTTGCTAACAATTCTTGTGTGAAATATGAGTGCTCACAGTAAACTGGTGTTAAATAATGAACATTCAATTCAATTTGTAGTCTTGGTTTCAGCAAGACAAATAAAATCACATCATTAGTAACTGCTGTTACTCTTCTAATTTGCCTACTCTGTTTACTGGTAATGTGGAAGACTGAAGCAATCATTAGGTTTGCAATAGGAGGCTTGGAGACTAGCACAGTTGTTGAAAGCTTTCTTCTGGAAGGAATCTCTTGCAGATGGCTGTACTTTAAATGCCTAAAAGGGGAAAAAAAAGAAGTTAACCAGAGAAGTGAAAAATTATTTTCCCTGCTTCTGGGTTCCCAAACTAATTTCTAAATGATTGAGGACAAAGTAATAACTTACTGAGGTGCCCTGTTTTTTTCCTAAGTCTTTCTTCTTCAAATGTTCTGAAAAGCTCTGGCCACTTAACTTTGCTAACAGTATGAGCTGTTCAGTGAGAGGAGGACAGATAAAGGAAAGACAGCAATCTTAAGGGAAGAATCTAGCAGCTGTTCAACTTGCTGAGAATGATTTAGCTTAATAGTTAAGTTTGTTCCTTTATTGTTGATATCTTGCTTAAGCCATTCCTCTGAGTGCAGCTTATTTCATTTTTGTATTCAAAAGGAATTGGAAAAAAATCTGTTGGAATGTATAAAAATTAAGGAAAGGTGTTGGTCATATGCCCTACCTGCTGTTGGAATACCTGTAACAACTTTGGATTGTCATAATTTTTCTTTCTTCTAGAAATGTTTACCTGTAAGGTTGCCACATTAATGGTAACTTCATCTCTCGGCAGCTGTTAAAAAAAAAGTTGGCCAAGTTTTTTTGGTACTGCCCATCTACCTATGATATAGAAATTTCAATATATATAGTTTATTCAAAATATATAGTGTTCCTGTCCCTTGTAGTGATCTTGACCCTGTCATAATAGATTTGATATTGGGCTGCTTGCTGGATAGCTCCATCATGGGCTGGCTCCTTTGAGATGATCTTTTACTACTTATAAAAAGGAATTTATAAAGTAGTGTGTCTGAAATGCAGCATCTTAACTGGGATAAAATTCTGACTCCCAGGCTTGCAATCTTGAACATTTGGGGGAAAATCCTTGCATTGTATAGTTAAACAAAATCCTCCTTTACTCAACTAGCTGGCGGCACTTGGCAGTCAGCACATCCAGGTGTGCTGATGTTCCAGCACATCCACCCACTCTTTTAACTGAGTAAGCAACAAATGATATCATACCCTTCTGCCTGGTCGGTTTAAAGCCATCCCATGCTGAAAATGCAAGTGACTGGAGTTTTTGCTTATTAGAAATAAGGCGTAATATAGTAGTCTGCTGTGAATTAATAGTATGTTAGCTTCATGTCTGGACCTTTCCATTACAATTGTGCCAGGATCTGCTTCCAAAATTTGCATGTTCTGTAGATGTTCTGAGCAGCATAATTTGGTGCATTTAATTGTATCATTGTGCCTTCATTTTCTTTCTCTTCCAAAATGTCTCCCTTATGGGTGTTATGTTTCTGAAAGCTGCCTTCCTCTATTACACCAAGTTTCTTCTTTTTCATCCATATCCTTCTTTTCTCCATCAGTCTGTCAAATCATCCGTGAAACAATGCAGATCAGAAATGAAAGAAGTTGTACAGGCTGTGGTTTGGGATGAGAAGATCTGAAATACCATTCCCAGCTTTGTCACAGGCATCTTGTGGGACTTTTTGCAAGTTACTTTACCTTACTCTGAACTTGTTCACTCTAAGGCAGTGAGCGACAGCACTTTGTAATGAATACTCTTTACTCGCAATGATAGTCGTGTAATTTTGGCATATTTTGATGCAGCACATGATTTATTTATTTACTTTAATCTCTTGGGACAATGGTTGTGCTTTACTTTGCATGAATAAGGTTTCATAAATATGAAATACTGTATTTGTCCATGATAGTTACAGGAAGAATATTCCTGATTCCAGGATTCTTAATCATAAGGTGATTGTACTTATTTTATTTGAGTTACATTTCTTTTTGGGTAGGGGGGCCTAGAAACTGTGTTCTGTATACCTTTCAACACATGACAACAGATTATGTTTGCTTGCATATGTTTGAGAACCAGGATATTAAAAATGAGAAATGGTGATTCCTTTTGTAAAAATTTAATGGCTGATCTCCACACACGCACCCACACCCAGTTGTTACATGACTTTTTAAATTTTGCTCAAATCTGTGTGGTGTAATTCTCTTTCAAATGTGAGACTCTTTTCTGTGTTATGAAGGATAAGGTGAATTAAAGTCTTTATATTAAAAGAGGTGATTTAAAATTGCAAACTGAGGGGGTTCACAATGACCGCCGGATTTTGTCTGTTTCGGAGATGCTACCTATGGAGAGGATCTGCTGTGATGAAAGTAAACTTGTATCTTTTCATTAATTCTCATCTATGAGGGAGAGTTAAGCTGCTGTCCCAAGTGAATGTTTTAATGATCTCTCTGGAGTGTTTCAAAGCTTTGTCCCACTTGCATGATGCCAAGTGAAATGCACAAAATCTATCTTTGAGGCAACCCTGTCATTATACCTTTTGGTATATAATGTTTGTATTTGCATTTCTTTTGTTCTTGTATGTTGAGCTTTACCATGCCCAAAGGAGAACCTCTTGCACTTCAGAGAAACCTTTGTAAGACAAATGTTTGCTATAATAAGTTAGCCTAAAGTGCTTACAACTCATATTTTAGAAATTTATACTAAAATACAAAAATATGAGTGTCGAATTGAAGAGTTATTATTCTTTTCAAATGCATTAGTGCAAATTGTAGTTTAGTGAGTGTCAGTCAGCTTTTCATCACAACTGCAGTACATTTTATACATCCAATAGTCAATTTTCAGTAACCTATGAATGATATCTTGAGGCTTCTCTTAAGGAGGATTTTTTTTGTGGCTTTAAAGAAAACTGTAATGAAAACAGCAGTAAAGTTCAAAGGTACTAAAAGAAAGGGCATCTTCTGGTCAAATAAACAACAGTTACTCTTGGCAAGCCAATTTCCAATGGATTGTTTTCAAATAAGTGGGTCTTGGACACTCCTTGCTGGGATTCTTTAGAATGAATTCTACTTTCACAAACCTCTAATTCCTATAATTAAATTTCAATGTGTGGTTTTTGCAAATAGTGTTCTCTCTAGAGAACAGATGGGTATAAACTTTGGAGATTTGGTTTCACAAAATGTAATGGCCAGTGGTTTTCTTGCTGCTGTTCTAGTTGTTCCCAGAATATTCATGTTGGTTGAGCTTTCTAACATTCTTGTTTTGACTTTCTGTCCACAGTTTTAACAGCGTGCGGCAAGGAACACACATCTTGTTCCGTGAGTTCAGCTTTGTCCAAGCGACCCCTCATAACAGGGCGTCTTTTCTTCGGACCTTCTGGAGGTGTTTCCGAACTGTGGGGAAAAATGGAGGCAAGTATTCCAGCATCTGCTGCTGTCCTGTTACCTTGACATGAAAATCGTTAGCCAGGTTATTAGTGCACTACAAATACTGACCTTTCACATTGCATTCTAGTATCCTAACATTAATAATGTTGACAATGAGACCTAACATCACATTTCCCTGTGGAATAGTTAAAAATGGCTCCCAGAATATAGTGGTGTAGAAGCACCTTGTTGCTATTGCTACTTCTGTTACAGAACAGCATGTTAAGCAACAATAGATCAGAGGGAGCACATTGTGGGCCTGTACATTGAGAAGGATAGGAAAAAAAATGTGCTGGAGGTTGGTGGCTGGGACCCAGAGAAGGTTAGAATATCGGGTGTGGAGCATGAGGGAAGGGGGTGCTGAGATTCTCATCCAGCTGGGCTCCTGAGTGCTTTCATTAGGAGCCTGCAGGAGGCTGGGTTCATAGTGGTGTGGGGCAGTTAACACTGCTACCTGAGCGGTGCCTGAGTAGTCGTGCTGTAGCTAGGTGATGCTGCAGAATCCTGATTGCTGTGGAAGAGGGCCCTCTGACAGCTGTGTGACCTCTTCCCCAGCCCTACCCACAAGGAAAAAGCTCCAGGGCCAAAATAAATGCTCAGCACTCTGCTATCATGTCTAGCTATTCTTATATTGCACTTGGTATATTAGGTATTACAGAACTGGCCAGAGTTCAAAATAAACTCCTGTAACTACATACAACTAAAATGATGTTTTCTTTTACTTTTTAATTTAGTATTTTAAGCAAATACACTGAAAGTTGCTGTACAGATATGAATGTTGGTGGAGTTTTTTTTACTATAAGCCTCATTTTTTTTCAGGCTGTTCAGACTCATTTCTTCTTGCAGGAATGACTACAACCAGCTCTTAAATATAGATAAAACCTTGCCTTCTGGCTAAGCTTTGCAACACTTCTGCTTTTGATGAACAGAGTTTGCCAGACTGTGAATAAAGGCTTTTTTGACGTATGCCATCTAGATCTTTGGCAATTAAGCAATCATAGTTAAACATGACAAAATCTGTACTAAGCTGCTAAAGTAACTGACTATGCTATCTGTAACACCTTCTTCCCAGTGAGAAATACTTTGTTATGTTATAAATAATTTACTTTAGTTCAGGGCTAATATTTAAATATTTGAGGTAAATTATATGATACTAATTTAAGAGTATGCAGTAAGGATATACTTGTTTTGAGGTCAGGTCATAGTCAGGAAAAGTAACATGCAACCTCCTCAAACGTATTTCTATAGAGGAGTTAGAGATAATAGTGAAGAAGTCATCCACCAGAACTGCAGCTGTTAGTGATAAACCATATTGAAAAATTGAGAAGAAGCTCTCTGATGCAAAGTATCTACTGCAGTGCTTTCAGTGCAAGTTTTCATCAGGCTTCATTTATCCAGCACCAGCCTCAGCCAGATGAAGGGCACCTGGATTTGTTGAAAAGAATAGACAAGTTTTAGCTTCGTAATATCTCCTTTCTCTTTAACTTTTAGTAGTTCTATGTGAGTATGGAAAAGGCCATAGAAGAAAGTGTAATCACCAAGGTACTTTCAAGAGAAAGGGTAATAAGCACAGGAACAAAAGCTCAGCTGGATGTTGCTAAGCTCTGGTTGTGGCCTAAAAGGAGTTCAGTGTGTATTTTTCTGACTTTGAAGTCCACTAGCTTCACTTTTTAGTCTGAGTAAATATTACATGTTTAACTGTATATTTATACATCTACATACATTTTCTTTTTACACTAACCAGAGACAGAAATGCATCACTTTGGATAAATTACTGTCAATATTTTGACCCACATAGTCCAATTTCTGTGGTTCTTCAGTCATAATTATAGACTAGAACCTTGATATTTTTCATTTCAGTTTTTCTGTGGAATTTTTTTTTGCTATACCTGTGTGTAGAGGAACTTATAACATTCATGGCCACTTAAGAATTAAACTCATTTACTGAGAAGCTGAACCTGTGCAACCAGGACTAGAAGGAAACAGATGAATGTGATCCAGTGTCAAGTGTTTTCATGGGAAACCTATGCTGAAGCAGACTCCTGAAGGTCCAGTCCTGTGGACCCATGGAGAGAGAAACACATGCTGGAGCAGCTTTGCTGGCAGGACTTGTTACTCCATGGGAGACTCAAGCTGGTGCAGTGCATTCCTGCAGGACTGTACCCCATGGAAGGGACCAACTTTGAGCAGTTTGTGATGAGCTGCAGCCCTTGGGAGGGTATTAGGTTGCAGAAGTTTGTGGAGGAGTGTCTGTGGAATGCCATATTGGAGCTGGAAAAGACAGCAAGGAGATAGGAATGGCAAAGACAATGTGTGACAAACTTCCTGGTCTCCCTGTGTCACTTGGCGGAAGGAAGGTGGTAGAAAAATCAGGAATGAGGTTGAGCCAGAAAGAAGGGAGAGCTGAGTGGAAGGTTTAAGATTTGATTTTATTTCTTACTATCCTACTCTGATTTAATTGGTAATAAATACAATTTCATTTCCCCAAGTTGAGTCTATTTTGCCTGTCTATTTGCCAATAGTAACTGGTCAGTGATGTCTCCCTGTCCTACACTTGCCCCATGAGCATTTCATTATATTTTCTCTTGACTGTCCAGTTGAGGGGGGAGAGTGAGAGAGAGCAGCTTTGGTGGGCACCTGGTTAGGGTCAAACCACCACAAGGAGGTAAGTGAGTTATGGAGTGCTGGTAAGAAATTCTGCTTATGGTTATGTACTATGCAACAGAGCATGGGACAAACAACCTGCTGTTTCTGAAATTAGTAGCAATATAGCTTGGGCTAGCATAGGAATATTGCTTTTAAGACCTGAACTAGAATTTATGCTTTTGATGCCCTGTGTGATGTGTATGAAGTGTTATTCATCAAATGGCTACTTTAAGTCAGTGGAATTTCTGTGTGCAGAAGAGGATGAAAATATACCCTTTGTTTTCTACAGCATGATTCTTATCTGCCCCAGTTTTCTCTCTGGGTTTGCTTCTGTGCAGGGATTGCTCCATTCTTTGTCTTTGATTTATGTCTGTGAAGAACTATGAAAGCATCTTTTGTCTTCCTTTGCCAGAAGTAGTACATTCACTAACTTCCATGTCTTCTAGGTTGTTTTTGGTTTTATTTATTCCTTTATCATAAAAATGTTTACTGCCGTTTTCCCCTCTCTCAATTACTTTACATTTCATTCCAGATTTGAATTTCATGTTTTAGGAGTGGGTGGTGGCTTTTTCTTAATTTTCTCCATCTGTGAAGGGTATCCCTGATAAACGACATAAATACCAACCCTATGAGGATATAAGTCCACCTAATAAATAACTTACATCAAAGCTTGTACCCTGGCTGGAAGGAAGCAAGGGAGAATATTAAAGATGTAAGACGATGTGATTTCCAAGCTTATACAAACTCACAAACCCCTCCAAACAAACAAAATCCCCCATATTTTCATTTCTGTGTAATTGGGATTTTAGAAAAGTAGACAAAATCTCACAAATAAGTTAGGTGATTGCTTAGCTGGTACCTGTTCCTCCTTGATGCAGGGAAATTTACTCCTTTGTCTGTCAGTCTTGACTTGGAATGTGCACGTCATACACCCAAGCAGATGCATTCAGCCATGAGTTCTCCAATGGCCAGTAACAGAGAAATCCGTCTGACACAAGCAGTGCTTAAATGTAACAATCTGTGTGTGTGCAGAACCATGTATACAGTAACTGAAATGCACTAGCATTACTGTTTCTCTTGGGAAATTGCTGTAGATGTTATTTTTCTGCATAATTCCTTATCCTTTTGAATTAGTGAGAAATAGCTCTTCATGGAGAAATATAGCAGATATGTTATTTTTCTGTATGTTAGTTCTGTTACTTGATGTGTTCCAGTTACCTTGACTTTTTAAAGTCCTTTTGTTTGGAGACTAGATTTATTTTTCCTTTTGTCTCTGGATAATAAGGGAAATTTACTAGATTCAATAAATGTGATGGTGACACTTTGAAAAGTAAAGAAAAGTTTGTTGTTTTGGGGCGGGGGGGTGTGTTTGTTTATTTTTTTGATAAGAGTATTTCTTTTTGGTGATATGCTGGATCCATTTTACAGGATTTTCCAGCAGTTTTAGAAGCTTAGTAAGGTGCAGCGTTCTATTTTCAAGTATGCATAAGCATATCTGGGATTCCATGCATTGGGAATGTGATACCAGGACTAGAAGGAAACAGATGAATGTGATACAGTGTCAAGAAACTGAGGTTTCTTGGTGAAAAAAAACTTCACAGAATTTCTTGTGATAGAATCATAGTATATTCTAAGTTGGACGGGACCCATCATGATCACTGAATCCATGTCCCTAGCCCTGCACAGGACAACCCCAAGAATCACACCATGTGCCTGAGAGCATTTTTCAGATGCTCCTTAAACTCTGTCAGGCTGTTGCCATTACCACTTTCCTGGGGAGCCTGTTCCAGTGCCCGACTACCCTGTGGCTGAAGAACCCTTTTCCTGATATCCAGCCTAAGCCTCCCCTGATTCAGCTTCATGTCTTCCTCATGTCTTCCTTGACTGTTGTCTCTGGTCGCGAGAGAATAGAAGTGCTTGCCCCTCTCCTTCCCCTTGTGAGGATGCTGAAGACCACAGTGAGGTTTCCCCTCAGTGTCTTCTCCAGGCTGAACAGACCAAGTGACCTCAGCAACTCCTCATACGACTTTCCCTCCAGACCCTTCACCATCGTTGTAGCCCTCCTTCAAACAATCTATAATAGTTTCATGTCTCTCTTATATGGTGGCACCCAAACTTGTCCCCAGAACTCAAGCTGAGGCTGCCCCAGTGTAGAGCAGAGTGGGACAATCCCTTCCCTTGCCCGGCTGGTGCTGCTGGGCCTGATGCACCCCAGGACAGGCTTGGCCTGCCTGGCTGCCAGGGCACTGCTGGCTCATAATTCACTGTCAACCAGGACCCCCATGTCCCTTTCCTGCGGCAGTGCCCTCCAGCCTCTTGTTCCCCAGTCTGTCAACATA